CTTTAAAAATAAGATATTTTAGTCTTTTTCAATAGATATTTATTAAAATAATGTAATTTTGAGATGATTTTCTTCCTAAATTTTAGGAGATAAGGCCGATATACACTATTCTCATATAATAATATGTAGATAAATAATTTTTTTTATCCCTTAAACTCATCCCATTAACATACTATGTGAGTTAAATTTAAAATCACTTAGTTCTACAAAAATGAAATTATCACTAAGATGGCATATGTAGGTCTTTTTTTCTTACAATATAAAAACTTGAAAATATTATTACGCTGTAAAAGGAAACAACAGAAATGTAGATTTTATTTTGGCTGCCTAAAAATGCTTGGCTCAAAAAAAAAATTTTGTGGTTTTAGGGCATATTTTAATGGGTTTTTCTAAAGGTTAAGGGATATAATTAATGTACATTTTTATTATTAATTTATATAAAGATAAATATTAGCTATAAATAAATAAATAAATTAAAATTATTTATGTGTTAATAATATTAAAATAAATATTAATTTTTTAAATTTTTATATAAATTAATTATAAAAAATACATTTATTATACATTTAATCTAGAGACACAATTTAAACAAATTTTATTTTTAATTTGGGTGTCAACAACATTAATTCACTCTTCCCTCAAATGAAGCCTTAATTGATTCCTAAAAATGGGGGTGGTGGTTTGGAAAAAGTGCATTTTAGTCAATTCATTGCATGACAAAGGCAAGGCAGCAACCGCAGAATGGCATGTATGAAATTAAGCACCGAAGGAAAGGCGAAAAGAGGAAGGAGGGATGCGTGGAGGTCATTATCAGAGAAGGCCCGGTTTGTCTCCTCCAAAGTGGATCTTCGCACGTTCTGAGTGTACGAAGACCCCCTCACGTCTTTAAACGACCGTGGAACTTCCACAGTGGAAGCAAAAGAAAAATGAGGACACATTTTTTTACTTGATTTCCATTGAGAGAGTCTCAGGGACAAAGAAAGAGAAAACCGCCACCACCCAACAGAAACAACCACCACTCCAACCCCCTCTCCTTTCTCTTTCTTCCTCAGCTTCTCTCTTAAAGCTCTTCCCTTTCATGGCTTTTTCCAGCTTTAACTAGGGTAAAATCAAAAACCCATTACCTTTTTAGCTTTTTCTAAGCTATAGAGATTCCATTTTCTGGGTTTTGCCATTCTTTTTGTCTGATTTCAATCTAGAAGTTTCGTAGATTTGAAAGGAAAGAAAAAATAGTATCCTTTTTATCTTCAGGGAAATGGGAATGGGGGAAAGCTTCGTTTTTTAGCGGGTTGTTCTTCTGTTTGTTTGTTCTTTTTTCTTTTTGATCAACTTTTCTGTTGAGGATTTGGTTGGAAAGCCTAAGGATGTTTTAGCTTAAGTTGGAGAGTGAATAAAGATTGAGTCTTTTCGAAATGTAGGTGGATGTGAAAGCTTCATCAAGCCTGAGAATTTTGGAAAGTTTGAAACTTTGTAGGTTCTGCACACTGTGAACTTGACTAGCTTGCTGGGTTTTCAGCGCTGACCCATGAAGAATTTTCGCTGGTTTAAACAAATCTCCAATAATGGTAAATTAGAGAGGAGGCTTTCGCTTGGGGAGTACAAGAGAGCAGTTTCTTGGTCCAAGTATTTGGTGTCATCAGGGGCAGAGATAAAGGGAGAAGGGGAGGAAGAATGGAGTGCAGATATGTCACAGTTGTTCATTGGCTGCAAGTTTGCATCTGGGAGACATAGCAGGATCTACAGAGGGATATATAAACAGAGAGATGTAGCAATTAAGCTCATAAGCCAGCCTGAGGAGGATGCAAACTTGGCTAATATGCTTGAGAAGCAGTTCACTTCAGAGGTTGCTTTGCTGTTTCGATTGCGCCATCCTAACATCATCACTGTAAGATATCTAACATTTTTCTCCTTCCGTTTTGGATTTTTATCTTGGAAAGATGGGAGACTCAGTGGTTTGGTTTAATTTGTGATGATAATCAGGTGACTGTTTAGAGAAATAAGAGGCAATGGAATCATGAGATATATGAGAGGAAAGTAAATTATAACATGATAAAGGAATCAAAGTGCTTTTGCTCATAAAGGAAGAATATGCCTCTTTCCTCTTCTAGGGATTCCAAGTTTCCAACTTAAACAGGTCTATAGTTTAACGATAAGTCAATTACAATATTGACCTACACAGAACCTTGTTTTTTTATTCAGCAATTTATTGGATCGTGAAGATTCTTGAACTACTTCAGTAAGTGGGGCATTTATGAAGCCTTTCTTCATCATGCCTATCCAGGACTTACTACCCATGTGCACTATTTATTGCCCTTACTCTCTCAGTTCTGTTGAAACAAAGATTTCATAGTTTTCTACTTTGCCATTATTTCATGGTTCTGCTGATGGCGTTGGGAAATACTCGGTTTGGCAACTTGGACTGCCTTTACCTGCATCCCTGACACATCCTTATCTCTAGCTTAATCTACTGCTGCAGGGAACTCGTTTTTGGTCAAGTGGGGAGGCATAAGAGTAAGACATCTTAGAGTGTCATATTGATGAATTGGAAATTGCTAGTATAATTTCATAATATCATAACCGCCCTTCCATTTTCTATTGCATTTGCAACTTATTGATATGCTGTTAAGGCTATGTGTTAAGTGATCTCTGGTTGATGGGTTGGTAGAAGTTTACAAGTAATTTCTGTAATAATAATCTACTTTAAAAAGTTTTACCACTTATCTTTATTGGGTTAGTGATGGTAGAAAGTATTTTATTGAGAGTGGTAAATTGGATTATAAATGACTTTCCATGGTAGTGTTTTAGCTCATCCCATCAGGCACTGTCATGACTTCTGAAATTAGTAATTAACTCTGTCTCAAATGTGGATAAAATGAGTTTCAGTTTCCTGTTTTAGCAGGCAGGCAGCTGTCTCTGAAACATTTTTGTAATCAAGTTTGTTGTAATACATGCTCAGGTTTGTTTTAGATGCGGGTTTTAGCATCTTTGATGAGCTGTCCTTGTTTTTACTTGTAAAAATGATCTCCTTGAATCACTTTCTTAACAAACACTAATTGCCATTTTCTCCAAGCAGTTTGTTGCAGCCTGCAAGAAACCTCCCGTATTTTGTATAATCACTGAGTATCTAGCTGGGGGGTCATTAAGAAAATACCTCCATCAGCAGGAGCCACATTCACTTCCTCTCAACTTAGTTCTGAAATTAGCTCTTGACATTGCACATGGGATGCAATACCTTCATTCTAAAGGGATACTTCATAGGGATCTCAAATCAGAAAACTTACTGCTTGGGGAAGATATGTCTGTTAAGGTAGCAGATTTTGGTATCTCATGCTTAGAATCTCAATGCGGCAGTGCCAAGGGATTTACAGGTACTTACCGTTGGATGGCACCTGAAATGATCAGAGAGAAACATCATACAAAGAAAGTTGATGTTTACAGCTTTGGTATAGTCCTCTGGGAGCTTTTGACTGCATTGACACCATTTGACAACATGACCCCGGAACAAGCTGCATTTGCAGTCTGCCAAAAGGTAATATACAGAACCCAATTATTGGTCTAAAGCATTCACGATATGATGAATTCTATCCCCCATGAGGACATTCATGCACTTTTCAGTTTTCATGCCTCATGCTCATCGGGAACAATTATATTAAGCATAAAAGCAGAAAAGAGTGGTTATGTTGCTACGGCTTCTTTAATATGCATAAAGGAACTACAGACCCTTTTCAAGTCTATTGTATCAATTAGTGCTTGAATGTCCTCTCTTTATCTCTAGCTGCAGGAGTTTGATTTGAGGGACCCGCCCTGTATTCTTTAACATGCATCATTCTCATTTCTTCTGGATTTTATGCAGAATGCTAGACCGCCACTACCCCCAACGTGCCCTGTTGCAGTTAGTCATCTCATCGGCAGATGCTGGTCAAGCAATCCTGGTAAAAGGCCTCACTTCGATGAGATAGTTTCGATTTTGGAAAGTTATGCAGAGTCATTGGAGCAGGATCCAGAATTTTTCTCATCCTACAATCCTTCTTCAGATCATACAGTTTTCCAATGCTTACCAAAGTGTTTTGCCTTCCACCGGTCTGCTTCTTGAAAAGCCTAGAAACCCTTCAGGAATTATGTCTAATGTTAAATGTAGCGGATTCTTTTCTGCTTGTTAAACATGTAGGAACTGGAACAGTTCCTATAATTGCTACTTTATGCTTATGCTTATATATACCACTCTTTTCGTTTCTATCCTTCACCTGAACATCTTCTGCTGCCATTCTCAAGAATCATGAAACTTTCTAAACGTTGTTGTTAGAGTACACGAGTAGGTGCAGTGGTGCGTCTGCGTGTAGATTGTCGTTTGAAGGTGTTTTCTACATTTCCAAGCGCGAATTAACAACAAAGACAGTTTGGCCGAGTGGTCTAAGGCGCCAGATTTAGGCTCTGGTCCGAAAGGGCGTGGGTTCAAATCCCACAGCTGTCATCTTCTCCATTTTTTGCTTTTGGGAACATAACACTTTACCTCCTCCAAGTTTGAAGACTTGTGCACTTGACACCATTTAGTATTCTGGAAAGGAGCATTTGGTTAATTCTTTGCTATCTACTTTTCCTAAAAATGGCATAATGAGATGGTGCTAAAGAAAAGAAATACATATAGCCATTGAGCCTCTAACTTAATGGCATTAGCAATGTTTTCATAATATAATTAGATAATTTGTCTAAGTTTAAAATGTATGACAGGTCTTATTGTTAGTTTAAATTGATGATGAGATTGTGTTTTTTTGGTAATATGGTATGTGGAGTTATATGATCGGAAGGTAGATTAGAAATTGTAATATCAAAAATGAAATATACCAAAACAAATGAGGTTGTTTTTGTTACTTTTTTAATTCTTGAGAGCAAATGTAACCATACCAAACCACATGATGGTCGAAAGTGGATTTCACACTTTTATTTTTTATACCATTCCCACCTCTCTAAATCTGATTTTTCTCCTTATGATAGATTTACACATAATCTTCTGAAGTTTAAAAGCAAAAAAAAAAAAAAAAAAAAAGACTAAATAATTGTTAAGGGCAAGCAACTAATAGGTTTAGGTGAAAATTATATGTCATGATTTGGATTTAGAATCTTTCAAGGTTGTTTCATTGGCAATTGTTTCTTTGAATAATGATTAACTTTGAAGGTTCTTCTACATTCTTGCAAAGAATACAGCTGTGCTCATTTAACAGCTAGGACCTAAGGATGACCAAAATCATAAGATAATAATAATAAAATAGATTTCATCACTAGGAGGTTCAAAACTCCAAATAATTAAATAAGTAGTTATGTTGTTGGGACATTATCTTTCTATTTTCTCAAGTACACAAAAAGATATCTTCTTATCTTCCCACTAGCCAAAATCAATGATATTCTAGTTTGCCACATTTGCATTTATTTAATTGCCAATATCATCGGATGCCACATCAATTTCAACCCTCACTATTGTAAGCTTCCTAACCCCACTAAAAGTTTTCAAAATATTGAGAACCTTTTTCTTACCAATGTGCCCTTTCACAATAAAACACAACTCAAATAAAGGGTGAAAATCAAAGCTTTGGAATGGTAATCTTATAATGAAGTTTTTATTTTTTTGAACATATTTTGCAAGGGGCAGGTTTCGAACCCTGCTTGAGAGAAGGAATGCACTGGTGGTTAATGTCATTAGCCTTCAAGGACCAGGTGCTTATAATGAAGTTTTATAAATTGTTTTTTATGAGTTATATATAAAAGATATAGTACTTTCTCATTTTAAATTTACTCTAAAATATATAATGTAATTTTAACTTTTAACTTTTGATTTTTATTAAAAAATGTCTTACGACTCAAATAAAGGGGAAAAGAAAAGTTTTGTATGATAATTATAAAAGGAAGGTTGATTTTGAGTAGTAATGTCTTTGGTTTTAAAAGAAAAAACATATCTTACCATTTGGAGAATTCATGGAGAGAGGCTCACAACTTTTAATTCGAAGAACACAGTCAATTGGAGTGGGTGTTGAACAGGAAATGTATCATGCATGAACACTAATTGCTTCACATGTAGTAGCTGCATTTCAATAAATGTACCACATTTATGAATTTAACTAGTAGTACGTACATGGAAAATCATTAACTTTTCACTGACACACAAGCAAAAGAAAAAATTATTTTATTGTATAAATTATGTTAAATTATAAAATAAAAATTATTAAACGAAAAAAAAAAAATCTAATAGCAGAGAACTTACCGTTTATTCCACTATATCTCTTATCTAATTCGGTATAATCTATATTGTACAATATTTTTTAAAAGAAAAAACAAAGGATATAGAAAAAGAGAATACTGCAATCACTCAGACTCCAAAAGAAAAATTGAAATCCTAACTTAAAAAATATCACTATTTAGTGTATCTATTTTTCACTGACACATAAGCAAAAGAAAAAAAAATCTTATTTTACTTTATGGATTATATTGAGTTATAAAATAAAAAATTATTAAGTAAATGACAATCTCTAATATCATAGGGCTTATCTCTTATCTAATAATTTATCTTATATAGTTTAATACAATACAAACTAGATAATATTTTTTAAAAGGAAAAACAATAGATATAGCAAAAGAGAGAATAGTGCAATTCGTCCGACTCCAAAAGAAAAAAATAAGAGTTCCAACTTAAAATATGTCCTTATTTAATGAACATTTTCAAAAATCGATTTTTTGATTTAGTGTTCTATTTATGTAACTCATATATATCAATTTTTAGATTGGACTAAATATATATAACTAATTCATTAATTATAGAAAATTTACTACTATTAAATATATATTAAAAAATAAAAACTTTTAATTGAATAATTATAAATGTTAGATCAATTAAAAAATTAATATGTATTATTTATATGAATAAAATATTAAATTTAATAATTATATTTTAAAAATATTTATTAAAAAAAGATGTTTTTAAATTTAAGATTTTAAATTTTACGTGGGGATTGAGATTGATTCATCTCTTTCCAATAGCAAAAAATAGAATCAGTTTCTCTAAAAAAATTGCTGCATTTAAGTCCTTGGTCCCTGCATAACCAACCTTATTAGTAAGTCAGTGGATAACGTTAGAATATCACATTTACCCCCCATATATATTTTTACAAGCCAACTACGAACCTAAGAGTACTGTTATTTTATTTTATTTTTTATTTTTTAAAGGTTAGGGTATCAGTAGACTTATTTTATGCACATTAAGATTAATATTCACTTTTAAAAATTAAAATAATTAAAAATGTATTTATTTATAAAAAGTGAGACAACTAAAAATTGAAAAGAGTATTATAATTGTGGGTAAAAAATGAAGCTCCATACAAGAGCGTCAAAATTGAGCAATAATTAATGTGCACTAAAATTGATATAAAGCCACTCTGATGTTCAACAAAACACTACATTTCTTATACAAGGGCTTTGAAAACACCAATCATAAACATGAGATATATTTTGGGAAAAATTAAATTTTTAAAAAAATGCTTTTTTATACAATGGAATTCTTATTGGTGCAAAGTAGGGATTTCACAACTTTTTTTTTGAATAGGTACAATTCAAGAATAAAGAATAGAGAATTATAACATAATAATATCATGATTTAAAATTTAATTATTATCAAAATATTATATATACTTACAAGTGATCTATGAGACCTGCTGCAAGATTTCACAAATTAAACATAAAATTTTGTTTTTGCCAATGAAAAAGGTACTACCAAGTGAATTATAGTCCTCCTAAAAAGGAAGTGTTAGAGTTAAAGTACTTTTACTTTGGAATTATTTTGTCCACCGACAGGTATTTATTAGAGCAAATGCAAATCCCCGAAAGCAGCATATGGTGCTTAAAGGAGGCACATCTCAAGCTTTTTGCTAGAGAAATAAAAATTTTAAAAAAAAAAGGGAGTACATAAAGTTTGGAGATGTCATGTAGCTTTCTTGCTTACCCTTCCTACACCGACATATGAAAAAGGAAAACATTATCACCATATTTTGAATTTTATTATAAGAACATCATTTTTTTTTTTGGGGGTTAATTTATTAAGGGAATTTGGTCATTATTTTCTTGATATTTTTTATTCTTCAAGCATATACATATATATACTCAAAGAGACAGTCTATATGTCTTTACTTAAAAATTAAGAGAATAACTTGATAAAATGTTGTTTATTAAAAGATAATGAAAAGATTTAAATTCATATTTTTAACATGATTCACATAATTTTTAGGAAAATGGTTCTGGAATAAATTTTTTATCCCACATTTTTGTACAACTTGATGTATCATTTATATGATTGGTTTTTTTTATTCATATGAATCTTGTGATATTGAATGCATCCACTCATTTAATGATATGTGAAAGTTATATTTAAAAGTGATAAAAAAAATATTGTCTCTGTAACACCGCCCAATTTCTTGCCATTCAAAAAACCTCCTTAATTAAGTCACTATTATTGTTGATTCACATCAATAGTATTAATTGAATTCACATAACTTATACCAATTTTAAGTAAAATTATTTTGCTTAAATTTTTACCAAAATTTGTCTATGAATAGCAATAAATTTTTATACAATTCAATTTAAACTGAATTAACCGATTAACCCCAAATAAAAGTTCAAAATTTTGGTTCAATAATTCAATTTTGACAAGAAAATTCAACCCTTAATCAAATATCATAATGTAGCAATCAAATTTCAAATTTGGATGCAAATTTTCATCTTTGATAATGAAACATAAAAATCGACACCTTACCAATTGCTATCATTGTATTTTAGAAAACCAACCAAAGTGAAAGAAGAAGGTAAGTAAACCTCATGACCTTGACATTCTGCCCATCCAAAAAATAAAAAATCCAACTTTCCAAAAAAAAAAAAGAAAAGAAAAGAAATGGTCAATAACCAATCTCCCTAGTCGATGGGCATAATCGTCCCAAGGGGAAAAAAAAATCAGAAGGAACCCACCGTCGGCATGCCACGTGGCAAACACCCATTAAAACGGAAAAAACAGACAGAAATCAGATCGGCAGTTGCAGACCGCGCGGCTGGGTTGGGTAAGGGAGAAAGTCGCCTTCTTGTTCTTTCTTCCCTCTGACATTCCACCTCCTGTGAACCCCATTAATTTATTTCTCTCTTCAACCCTCGATTTCCCCTTTCTGCCCCTGGTTTCCCTCTGGATTTCCTTTCTCAGGGTTGGTTTATTTATATACATCTCCCACCGAGGTAAAAGTTAGATTTTTTTTTTTTTTTCTGGGCTGTAAAATCTGTGTATGTATGTGTATATATCTTCTTATCCCTATTCTTGTGTAAGACCCAGAAAAGTTTTCATCTTGAGGATGGGATTGGTGTTTTCTTCTTCCATGGCTGTTCTCTGAGGTATTATTGTTGGGTGCTCTCTTTACCCTTTTTATTGGGTTGAGTTTTTTGGGGTTTTCTGTTTATTCTTTTGATTTGGTACATTATCATGTTTAAATAGTTGATGGGTTGATGATATTTGGCTGGATTTCACTGTGGAAGATCTGGATGTGGAATATTGATTCTTGTTTCTTTATGTTCTTGGGTTTGTTTTATTTTTAATTTTTGTGGGTAATATGGAAAGTTTTCATCATTATCAATTCTTGCTCTGAATTGAAGATTTAATCTTCTGATGGTATTATTGGGTTTTTGTTTTTGGTTCTAATTGTGTGGTGAATAATGTAGATTGTGTGAAGTACCATACGTATGTTTTGAAAATCTATGTTTTCTCCTGTTATGATCTGTCATTTGTAATGTTTCCTGCAGAAAATTGATTCAACTTTAGGGAATTTGTGGATTTGGGAACACAATAATGCCTGGGATTATCATGGATGAAATCAAGGAAGAAGCTTCAGTGAATGCAGGGAGTGAGAATTCTAGACCTATGAAGGAAAATTCAGTTTCAGATAAATCACCCAGAAGTGCAGCAAGTCCACAGCGCCCCCACAATGCAGGCCACAATCTCCCAATTGATGGGGTAGTTGACACCTCAATTGAGCAACTATATGAGAATGTCTGTGATATGCAGAGCTCTGATCAGTCACCCTCAAGGCCGAGCTCTGGGTCTTATGGGGAAGAGTCTAGGATTGACTCAGAATTGCGCCATCTTGTTGGGGGGGAGATGAGGGAGGTTGAGATAATGCAAGAGGAGGTGGTGGACAGACAGGATGATGATGGTCGTAGTAACTCCTCTTCTAAAAAGGGAAGTTCATCTGGCAGTAAGAAGTCAGGTAGGTTAGACAAAACCCAATCTCCAAGGGTAAAGTCCATTTCTTCCAGTCATACCAAGAAAGCTTCTAACTTGGCACTGGACCCTGAAGCATCACCAAAGTCCAGTCCTAAGGTAAAAAGCCCTTCTGATAAACCTCCTATTGATAAGCGGAACAATAAGACTCTAAAGAAGCCAAACACAGGGTGCTTTTCTCTGAATAAAGGGAAGGCATTGAAAACAAATGGAACTGAGGATGAATCAGGACTAGGTAATCCAGCTCTTGGACCATTTCTACTCAAGCAAGCAAGGGATTTGATTTCATCAGGAGATAATATCCAGAAAGCTCTTGAATTAGCACTGCGAGCTGCAAAATCATTTGAAATCTGTGCAAGGGGGAAACCTAGTTTGGAAATGGTTATGTGTCTGCATGTCACAGCAGCAATATACTGTAGCTTAGGCCAGTACAATGAGGCAATTCCAGTTCTCGAGCAGTCAATCAAGATTCCACAGATGATTGAAGATCAAGAGCATGCCCTTGCAAAATTTGCTGGTCATATGCAGTTGGGTGATACTTACGCAATGTTGGGACAACTAGAGAATTCAATAGCATGTTATACAACAGGTCTGGAAGTTCAGAAAGAGGCTCTAGGAGAAACAGATCCAAGGGTTGGTGAGACCTGCAGGTATTTGGCTGAAGCTCATGTCCAAGCACTGCAATTTGATAAGGCTGAAAGGTTATGTCAGATGGCCCTTGACATTCATAGAGACAATGGTTCACCAGCTTCTCTTGAAGAAGCTGCTGATAGGAGACTCATGGGTCTTGTATGCGAAACAAAGGGAGATCATGAAGCTGCTCTGGAGCATCTTGTTTTAGCCAGTATGGCAATGGTGGCAAATGGCCAGGAGGCAGAGGTTCCTTCTGTTGATTGCAGTATTGGAGACACATACTTATCTTTGTCTAGATATGATGAGGCTGTTTTTGCCTATCAGAAAGCACTCACAGCCTTTAAGACAACTAAGGGAGAGAACCATCCAGCTGTTGCCTCAGTTTTTGTTCGTTTGGCTGATCTGTATAACAGGACAGGGAAATTGAGAGAATCAAAATCATACTGTGAGAATGCCCTCCGAATCTATGAAAAACCCATGCCTGGGGTCCCTCCAGAGGAGATTGCTAGTGGCCTGACTGATGTTTCTGCTATCTATGAATCGATGAACGAGCTTGATCAGGCAATCAAGTTGTTACAGAAGGCATTAAAAATATACAATGATGCCCCTGGTCAGCAAAGCACAATTGCTGGGATTGAAGCCCAGATGGGGGTTATGTACTACATGCTGGGTAATTATTCTGAATCTTATGATTCCCTCAAGATTGCCATTTCAAAATTACGTGCATGCGGGGAGAAGAAATCTGCTTTCTTTGGCATTGCTCTCAATCAAATGGGTCTGGCTTGCGTTCAACGCTATGCTATAAAGGAGGCTGTTGAATTGTTTGAAGAAGCCAGGAGCATATTAGAGCAAGAGTATGGACCATATCACCCTGACACACTTGGGGTCTATAGTAATCTTGCTGGCACTTATGATGCACTTGGCAGGTATACAACCTCTCATTCTTTCCTTAATTTTCCTCCAATATCATTTTCCATGTAAATAACTGAAAGTCCAGATAAAATAGGCAAAGCCAGCACTCATTTCTAGTGAATTAGTAGGTTATGGTCCAGAGATGTTCATATGATTGAAGTTTTTGCTTCTTTTTTGACTATTGCCATGCTGGACACTCCTAACACAGGTTGGATGATGCAATTGATATCCTTGAGCATGTTGTTGAGATGAGGGAGGAAAAGCTTGGGACGGCAAATCCTGACGTTCACGATGAGAAAAGGAGATTGGTTGAACTGCTGAAAGAAGCTGGGAGAGTTCGGAGCAGAAAAGCCAGATCTTTGGAGACCCTTCTTGATGCCAACTCTCAAAATACAAATGGGGGTGAAATTCGTAGGTATGATAAGGAAAATTTTTATGTAATAAGAAACGAACAAGACGTACAATAGGGCTCGTTTAGAAGGTAAAGCATGACAAAAAAGGAAGGACCCGGCTATTGATGATCTTTACCACATTCTTGGTGTGGGGGAAGAAGAGAGTAGGAGGGTGGACTTGGAATAACCACCTCATGGTGTTTTGCTTGTGTTATTTATTTTGAATTTTTGTGTTGATTAAAGGCTGCTGTTAAGTTATTGTGTGGAACAGTGGAAGTGAAACCATATGCAAGACTGTTATTATGATATGGAAGGTATTATAGATCCACTTGCTGTGGAATAAGTTAAGATTCTTTGATCATATGTTTGTAAAGTGCTATTGTAATTATAACAGAATGGTTTAAACATGATTCATCTCTTTGAGCTGGATTATTGTGATATTGGCCATCAATCGATGTTTGGTTGTGAACTTGGGCTCATGTGTCCTAACCAAAACTTTCGTGGATGTACTGATTGAGCATTTCTTTTATATAAAACTAACAAAAATTTTGTCAAGTTTGTATCATAAACTTAAAAATCATGATTTAGTTTTAGTTTGAATTGGGGAAGTTGGAGGAGATGAGAAAGAGAAGAAGGCAGAAATATCTCCATCTCATGTTTGGATAACAGACTTTAATAGAGGAGAAGAAAGATGGAGGGAGATATAACTCCTTCCACTTTTCTATTTTTAATATCTTCAATTTAAAGGAATTCGGAGATATTGGTTTTATATATTTATTTTTAAATTTTTTTAAAAATAAATATATAAATTTACGTTATATTAATTATTTGTTAATTAGTGAATTTTAAAATTTTTATTCTATTTTATTTTATTTTTCTTTAAATTATTTAATTAAATAAAAATATTATATTTTCTTCTCTTCTATTTTTATCTATCTAAGTAAAATTAATATCAATTATTTTCTTCCCTTCACTTCTCCTTCCTTTTCTCCTGCGTTCTCTCCCTCTCTTCCTTTTACTAATTTTTATCCAAATATAGGGTTAGAGTCATTTTTTTCTCCACTAATTATTTCTGCTAAAAACAGAAGTTCAAGTTTATGTTAAGGGTAATTGGTGGGCTTGGAGGGGCTGATTTGAGCCCATTACAACTTTTTCTACAATAGGTCCATTTTATCCTTTTTTCTTTTTTCTTTTTTTTTTTTGGATTTGGACTTAATTATGTCATGCCCTTTCCAAACCAAACACCACCTTTAAGTCCAGTCCAGAGGAAAAACGGGTTAAACCCTGCCGCCTCTCGTTAAACACAACTTCTCTTCTCCGCGTTTCCGTCTCCGGCGCCAAATCAATGGAAATCAACAAACAGTTGGGTTCTCCGGCAAGCTTCGTTGATCAGACGGTGGTTTGTGTCTATCTCCTTGTTCTTTTGTTCATTCAATTTGGTGCTGTATTTAATTTCTTCAATTTTTTTTTTCTTCTTTTCTATGTTGGATTTTAGGTTCCTGGAGATGTGGTGCTCGATCTCTCGACCATGACCAACAAAACCATCAAGCTCGGCGGCGGTCTCCGTCAGGTGACCCTGAGCTTTCTTCATTGCAGTGAGCAAGATTGTCCTTTCTCTCTTTTTAAGCTCTGACTTTTCTCAGCAAGTTTCAGGACTGTGATTCCATTTCTGTCATGAAAGCTGGAAAGCTTAGGTCCTCGAAACCAAACAAATATTGGGTCGAAAGCTCTCAGAAAAGGGTGAGGGTCATGTTACTTTAGTTGGAGTTTCTTATCTAAAATTTGTGTTCTAGAGTTATCTATTGTAATAGAGGAAGCAGTAGCATTGAGCCAACAGATACTGGATATATTATTTTGTATATTAAGCCAGTTGTTTTCTGTATGTTAATCCAGCTATGGTAAGTTCCTTTAGTTTACAAAGATTCTTAATTAAGTTTTTTGCTCCATGGTGAATGTACTGCCGTGATTTTGGTGATGTAGAAGTTGATTGGTAATATAATCTAGTTCTTTTCCTACATAGTAACTAATATTTATCATCTATTGCGTGCAAGACAATCTTCATTTCTGTAGCTGGAAAAGAAATTAGTGTTTTTATTTTGCCATGTGATGTACTATGTTTTTGATTGTCACATAGTTTTTATAATTTTTGGTAATTTTTTTGATTTTGCAATTTTCAGTATGTGCCTTGTGTGGAAGATACCATCCTTGGAATCGCGGTGGACTCTAAAGCAGATGTAAGCACTCTTGACATGCTTTTATTTTGTTACTTGTTAGTCCTTTTTCTGATAGCAGTCTTCTTCCTATATCTATCATACTTGATGCTATTGAGTTGCAGGTTGCAAAATCTATTTGTGCAGCTAAACGGGGAGGAAGTTATTGTTTCAAACTAATTTTTGCCACATACTCTGATATGAATAAAAATAATTTAGCATCTCCTCCCTGTTTAACAGTTTGTATTTTGTACAGAATTTCCTTTTTTATTATAGATCCATTTCCTTCTTCTGCATATGTTCAAAATATAGATGCGTTTAATGAGCTTTTAATAACAGTTTATGGTTTTACATATAACTTTTTCTCCCAGAATTTTCTTGTTGACATCAAAGGACCTGCATTGGCATTTTTGCCTGTCCTTGCATTTGAAGGAGGAACTAGGAGGAATATACCAAAGTTTGAGGTGGGTATAGTTTCAAAACATGAATATTTTGATTAAAACAAAGAACATTTATGGCACTTGGATGTATCTAATAGTTTGCATTTAGTAATTTATGCTCTAAACTAAAGTTTTGTGTGTGGGTTCATAGTCATGTGCTCATGCCTCATTTAAATGCCATAAATTGTATTACATCTTTGTAGTTGGCAAATTAGTTGGACTATAGGTATATTTACTTTGAAACCTAGTACCTGCTGGACCTGTGCACTATAGTTGGGATCTGATGTGTCTTTACTACATGGAAAATGGCATTTATCAGACCATTTTAGGATAAATGTCCGTTTTTGTTGCTGCAAAAAATTTTCTGTCTACCAATGTTGTTATTACATTAAAAATGTTATAAGTTTCTATATTTTTTTCAATCGAAAACAAAGCTTGTTGCATATTGGTAATTTCTTGCATTGTACACACTTAACAGTAATAATTTGCTTTCTTAAGGCTTACTGCATTTATCCCCTAACTTTCTTTAGGTGCTGCCTCTTGTCACAGGTAGGTACTCTTCTTTATGTCAGGGTTGTGAAGGCAAATATTGGCATGAATCCTGAACTATCATGCACAGATGGTAAGTTAATAACCATATGTTATATTTGTAATAGTAATGAGCTCTCTTTTTGTCTTTCTTATAGATATATTGTTTTTGTTTTGTTGCATCGACATTTCTGTCCTTTCTGGGAATTTCTATGTGATATAAAGCCAGTGGAAAAGCAGCAGAATTTGGTCCCCTCAAAGATGGATTCATGTTTGAAACTTCCATTGGTCTATCAAGAATGTAAGATAATCTAGTTTTTAGTTTTATTTTCCCTTTTTCAATAATAATTTTGTTGATAAAATACTGCTAAATAACACCTTGATTTCACCCCAAAAAAATCTCTTCCTGCTTTTCTCATTCCCCTTTTTTCTTGGTTGTCTCTGAAGGCTGCTAAGTTCACCCACATGTCCTGTTCTTGAGGCTCTGGGGAAGAAACTCTCCTTTGAGATAGCAGTTGGTTTAAATGGCCGGGTTTGGGTATGATCTTTAATAGATAATTTCTTTGTGTTATTCAACTGTCTCCATAACTCATTTGAGGCATTCTACTTTATGACAATGTTTCCAAATGTCAGCAGGCTTATCCTTGAAAATTTTATGCAGCTAATGTAACTGTTTCCCTTCAAATTTGCTTTACCCAATTGCAGGTGAATGCTGCCTCTCCGTATACTGTTGTTGTTGTAGCTAATGCAATCATGAATTCAGAATCTTTGAGCAGTACACAGCAGATAATTATGGTGGACAACTTGCTTAAGAGCATCCAGTGAACATGACATGGCAGTGAAGAGTATGACTTTATTCCTTAAGTTTATTGTCCATTTGCTTTTGAATTTTTTCTCATGATTTCCATTTTTAGAATCTAAAATAGACATTTCTTTTTTCTTTTAATGCAGCTCAATCATTTGGTTGACATACCTTGTACCATTAGCTCCATATTACCAGCATATGAAAGGAGACTTGACTCAAAATTACAATGAGCACAACTATGAAGACAGCAGCTCATGCCCCCATTTGCCTGACAATGAGCAGTTAAGAGTCATTTTTCCAGTTTTCTCTTTTAGAATCACACTTGAATGAGTCACTACAGCTTCAGTGGAACTGACTTTTCACTTTCCTTTCTCTGCATTCAGTTTTAGAACATTCAACACTGTAGCATACTGCATTTGAGGCTGATCAATGTTAAAGTTTCATTTAACGAGATTTTCTAGCTTTGACTGCATGAATTCAAAAGCACCTTGGATCATATCTTCATAAATGCTTAGATGGCATTTCATTGAACCTGTTGCTTTAATAAAGTTTGGTAACGGTAACTAACGCCTAATTGCATCAGTGTTATACTTGGATTGTTTGCCAATGATTACCCTTGAGAACCCCACTTACAACTGAGTACTGACCTATCTCAATAATGCTGTTGGACCACCACTGAGAGTGTCTCGTGGGGAATGTGGATTTGCATTATTTTCTGGATGTAGGAGCAAAGGAAAGGATTTTAGATAAGCAAAAAGAGAAGATAGTAAATTATCTATGCTCCTAATTTCGATCTAAATGTTCATGGATGCAATCGGATAGGGTTTCAATTTCACTGATCATTGCACAACCTTTTCTCGTTTGTTTCTTCTTGAGCAGATGTTTCTTTTACTTAAAGCATTGCATGCTTTGGTGTTTTTTAACAGCACTAGAAGTACATGCACTGAAAGGGTGGTGGTGGTGCTACAGGGACAATCTTTTTGTCTCACTTATTTATATATCATTAAATGAGTATATGCATTTCAATATCACGGATCCTACATGAATTAAAAAAACCAATCATTTTAATGACACGTTAAGTTATACAAAATAGTAAGACAAAAAAATTGTACAAAAATCACTTCCCTGCACTCAAATTCGTTAGTGCGATTCAGTGCAGAAAGTGTGGACAACGGTCTAATGGACTTCGGGACCATCCTTGTCCTAGTCCTGACTCCTGCTCGAGTGATCACGGGTTCTGCATCTGGGTTTCATTTAAGAGAAGAAACTGGTATTCCATTATTCTATTGTAATTAAAGCCTAAAACGTTTTGTGGTGGGGGGGTGGGGCGGGCGTGGGAGTAAAGTTGTTTGTTTCCTTCTTTTGTTTGTTATACTAACCAAAATTGAGTCTTTCTTCTACCACACAAGTGAAAATGGTCCAGCCATTTCAAGGGCTGTTTTCAAGTTTTAAGACAGCTAGCTCCCTTATCGGTGGTGCTGGAAGTGCAGTTACTCTCGAATTTTGGCCTTAGGGTTCATTACATTATTGTACTGAGAAAACATGTTTACTTGTGCCTACATGTTGCTTCCAGTAACATCTCCCTCGACTGTAAATTCCAACTTTAAAAACTCTCAAGATTGCAATTTTCCCTTAAAAGAGTACATGAATCTGAAACAGGGCTTACCGATTTAAGGGACCCAAATTTTGATGTTTGGGTTGCAAACAAAAACCTCATCTGACTTTCCCCTGGACTCCCTGGCACCTTCTTGACCCCATAATAGCCTATGATAATTATTAAAATTTATCATTTTGGTACTTGTCACGACAGCTATTTTTAAGAGAGAATTTTTTATAGCATGCAAAAGACAATTTGAAATTTATTTTTGTAAGTATTTATTATTTTATAATTTAAATTATATTAAATTATAAAATATTTGTAGATAAAAAACTATACTTAATATTAAGAAACTTGTCTTCATTTAAGAATTGATATTTTTGATGTAATATAATTTAAATTGTAAAATCTATTTTTTATTTTTATAAAATAAATTACTTAATTGAATGTCTTTAATTATTTTATTATTACATTTAACTTTAAACGTTTAAATAAATAACAGAAATATAATTTTTTTTGTTATAGATATTATATTATCTTGAAAATTTATATATATAATTTATATAAATAAAATGTTAAATTCAAAAGTTGGTAAATTATATTAGTATAAATTGGTCCTATCTCAATTACATATTAAAATATTTTTAAGTATTATTTTATATACTATAAAAAGCATTATCTAAAAATGTTTATAGTGATTAGCGACAAGTGAAATCAACATGTACTCAAGAAAATTTGCAATTTGCCAACTGGTATGAATTGTCAAAATGACAAACGGTGATTAACCTAATTATATTGCTTAGGTGTTAGAATTGTCATTGACTTGTCTTGTATCTTTCTTTGTATCTAATAAGTTTCATACTTCTTTAGATTTATTTAGTTATCTCACCTATTAGATTGGGATGTTTTTATCTTGTTGTTTAATTTTTTTATTTTTACAATAAATATCTTGTTCTACTACTCATTGTGTTTTTATATAATGCTATTAGTTATATAGTTTAGTGATAAAATTATTTGTAATTTTAGTTACAGATTTAAAATTCAATCTTTGATTTTTAGATATCAAAAAAAATTTGTGCTTTTATATTTTTTATTTTAGATTGTACAATAAAAGAAAACTTTCTCTAATCTCTTAATTTATCATACTTGCTTGATATACAATTAAAATTTAAAATATTTTATTTTCACTAAAATGAAATTACTATTGAATTATTTATATTGTTGATAATTATATTTTCATATAATTAATGATATTTTTCTATAATTGTACAATTCTAAAGTGTGACAACTACTAAATACTAAAAGAACAGAGAAGATGTGAATAAACACCCTCAAATTCTAACATATTTGTGGCCGAACTTAATCTTTAGATTAGTATTCATCTTCCATAGAACGAAAAATCAAAATCTTATGTCATTAAAAGGTCACAATATCCAGTTATAATCTTATGATAAACGAAACTTAGCTAAGACTAATACTATGTTTTACTTATTTTATGATTGTAATTCAGACATTTTAATTTTTAAAATATTAAAATATTAAAATATTCTCTTTTCTCTCACATTAATTTTTTCTAATAATATAAAAAATATAAAGACAAAATCTATCACAACTCCAAAGTTGACTAATTTAAAATTACATAAAATCTCATATACACCAATATAACACACCGCCGATGTGCGAGAAATGCCCCCACAATCCTTTTCTCTCACTTTAATTGAGAGAATTATTGAACCACATTGAGTACGGTTTTTGAAATCAGTAGACTACTTTTCCAGAAAAAGGGACTTTCAAAACCAAAGTAACAAAATGTTGATAATTAATAAATGAATTTTATTAAATCTAGCCGACCACTTCCTCTCTCCCCAAAGTCCAAACTACTTTTCACTATATAAACAGTCCACTCATTTAGAGTTTCCCCAATATCCAAGTTATACTCTCTCGTCTCCCCTCACTTTCTTTCTCTTCTAGTATTAAGAAAGGAAGTTGATTTTTTTCAAGGAGAATGGAAGAAAAGAGGGAATACAAAAAGGGGCTGTGGACGGCGGAGGAAGACAAGGTTCTGATGGATTACATAAGGGTTCATGGCAAAGGGAAATGGAATCGGATTGCTAAAGTTACAGGTAGCGGTTTAAGTTTCCATAAAAGGAATCAGTTCTTGTTTTTTTTTCTGCTCGAAAACTTACTATATATAGTTGCTGGTTATAATTTGCAGGTTTGAAGAGGTGTGGCAAAAGCTGCCGGTTACGGTGGATGAACTATCTCAGTCCCGGCGTCAAGCGCGGTGACTTTTCCGAGGAAGAAAATGACCTCATCATCCGCCTTCATAATCTTCTCGGAAATAGGTTCATCTTCCTCTAACGCTCTCTTAGTTTCAATATTCATTTAACTTTGTTTTAGGTGTCAGTAATTGTGTTATTTATATATTACTTATAATATCTTGTCGCGTATTTAAATAATTAATTGTAAGATATTTCTAGCAGGTGGTCCTTGATAGCGGGTCGGGTTCCGGGGAGAACAGATAATCAGGTGAAGAACCATTGGAACACTCATTTGAGCAAGAAGCTCGGAGTAAAGAAGGGAAAAGCGAAATCTGGAGGTTCTTCCCAATTATCATCAAAAGTACTGCAGAGGCAGAATAATGGTGGCCCCTCAGAGTACTCCAACACTACTATGCCTGTGGCTGCTGCTTGTAGCCAGAGGACGGAGATAGAAGGCAATTCTTATAGTCCAATTGACTTTGGAGGAGGACTTTCCGCCATGAGTGATGACTATGAGAAAGCTTTCTGGTTTTCTTATAATGATTTAGAACTACATAACCCTAATGTAATGGAATTCTTAGATCATGAGTCTCTTGATTTTGTTTGGAGTGATTTGTAATACTAGCCGTTTGATAGTTTGATAATTTTGTAATCTCCTAATAACTAAAATCATATCAGTATCTTTAAAAATTTTTGTCTTTACACTGTTTGCTATAATGATGTTTGAACATTTGGTTATTGTTTCATATGATTAACCTACAATCCTCATCTTGAATAAAAAGGCGATTATTGTTACTATAAACAATGTTAATTTCACAAATAATTTAATTTTTTATTAAATAGTGTTTGAAAATTTTAGTTTGTTGATTATTTTAATTAATTAATTAATTATTAACTAATACTTACAATTAATAATTATTTTTATGAATTAAATTAAACAAAAATTAATATTTTTAAAAATAATCTTTTATAATTTTAGTGACTTCAACATTTTTATTGATAACCATAATTACTCTCTAAATAATATCTTTAAAAACCATCGAATATTTCTTTTGATGAAATTATCAAAAATCATGGAATATTTCTTCGAAGAAATCATAGATTTTGTTGGGACACCTTATGATTTTTACCTAGGGTAAAAGCTTCGCTAAAATTTTATGATGGCAAACAACATAGGACGTACAATTATGCCAGATGATCATCCGAACCAGGTTCAAACAATGTTTGAGCTAAAATAGATTAAAAAAGAATTAACATCTACTTAATACTTAATTTTGGGATGTGATTGGTACATGATCATTGCGTCATTGAATTTTTCAAGTAATAATGTCTCATTATGACTACTTGCTAGGATGTAACAAATGATCACTAACATAAACAAAGGAAAATGTAGAGGAAAGTTAAGTGAAAATCTTTTTTTTTTTTTTTTTTGGGTAAATAGGTGAAAATCAAATTTACAGGGGGAATCTTTGCTCTATGAATCTACTGATCATCTACTGATCATAGATGTCGAGGGAACGCATCAAGACAACAAAAAGACCTCAGTCTAATCAAGGCCATGGTTTGTCTGAAAAACAGCATGTACTTCCCTAGGCCATGACCTTCCTGCCAAGATGCAAGAGGGATGGATGTTTTGACATTGTCATTTATAAAGCAACTACAGTAGCCATTAAGCAACCCCTTTTAGATATTAGCTCAGGGTAGCCTCACAACACAAAAATTATTCCCATTTTGAACGGTGAATAAAGTTCCTTTTTTTCCATCTCAGTTTTGTTTTCTTTTCGAAGACAGTGTCATTTGCAGTGAGAAAGGTAGGAAGGAAAAAGGAGTTTCGTTGTTTATGGGGTGCAGATGTTACTTTTTAGATCACAGGTTGTTTGGATTCATGTTAGCTAATTAAGATTCTCCATTTTCAATTCACATTTATCAAGCTTTTTCCTTATGATTTATTTTAGGGTGCTTGAATCCTTGCAATGAAATTGACATGTGCAACTTTTGATTCCATGAAGATTTGTAATGGCGCTTTTGAACATTAAGATAAAGATCCACCTCTAGAGAAGCATCCTATTTACAAGCAGACAATTTCTCAAATTCTTGGGGTGGTCCACTAAAACCATGCTCAGGGAAATGATGCTATCCATAATATTAAAGTAGAAAAGGCAATGACCATAGATGATATACATGTGCTGTATTGGCCCACATTATTGATTGCTAGATTATGGCATTGCAGCTGGAAATTTTGCACTAAAGGATTGCTCATAATGGGCAAGAAATCATACCACATACATTCTCATTTCATCATATGATCCAATATAGTCATTGACATAACATTTCATGTTATACGACTTATTCTCGAACAAAAAAAGAAGGGGGTAGGTGGGGGGGGGTGTTTGGTCATAAAATAACAAGCCCAGAAGTCAGAACTGAGCAGCTCTGCTTTGTTCTTGAACAAGGAAAATGAACAGTAGTGTTGTTTAATCATCATAGCTCATTTTGAGAATCAGGGGATAATAGGGGTTGGGATAGGGTTTGGACTGGGATGATATGTGCATCATCCAAAAGCTCGAACGCTCCATTGACAAAGTCATAGTAACCTCCCCACAGTTTCAGCGTTCCATACATTACTGCCTTGCTCGCATATGGGTAAACATCAGATTTCTCACTGTGTTCTTCACTAATTCCTGAATAACGATATTCAAATATCATACGATTTTCATTATTTATTAGCATTTATATATCTAGTGGAAACTACAAAAACATGTGTTGGAATGATGGAGAATTGAAGCTGAAGCTTGCTTTTTCACACCTTCATGCATTGTTCACCTAGTGGCAGATTCCAATACTTTTCTTGGACCTCTTCTTTTGCTGGTAAACCAATTCTGATCCAATTGTCGATGAAGTCACTAAATATCTCGATGAAATGGGATGAAATTATAAGAAACTTTTGGTAGCATATTAGATTTAGGAATAGACAATGTTTTATGTGTAAAGGCCTTACAATTTCATCAGATAACCATCCTCTAGATGAGGCATGAGCCTTTTTATTCCACCACATCGACTATGTCCAATGACCAGGATGTTTTTTACCTGCAATTTTTATTGGGTTTTTCTTCTGCCATAATTGTCCTTTGGATGTAAGGAATGATATAACATTTCAACATGAATGTGAATTCACCTCAAGACTGCCAACAGCATATTCAATGATAGCACCAACTCCAGAGTGTTCAGTCTGCAGTTGCAGACACCAATGTTATTAGCTATTTTATGCATCAAAACCAAATTGAAAAGACCACTATACTCTTAATTTGATTGAACAATTTTTTTTTTTTTAAAGTTTGAGTACCTGTTCAAATGCAGTAACCATATTTGCAATGTTGGGGGCCATGAAGGCTTCCCCGGGTTGGAAATCCAGGATATGAGAAGGGCTCACCTGAGAGTCTGAGCAGGCAAATACCAGAAACTGAAGCATGAAATAACAAGTGCAAAGTTCAAGAATTTCATTTACTCTATAACATGGTCGTGTTAAGGCTGAAAACAATGGAATTGATGGTGATAAGGTGATATACCTCGGGGTGTTGTCCTTCTTCAAGTTCAGCAAAAAACTCTGGTGCTTGCTGCAAAAGTCAGATCAATCTATATCATCAGCTGATAATTCACGAAATAATATTACATTTCTAGACCACAATAATTGACCGTAGTTTGAGTTGTACTATCTCACTCAAATTTACAGTTCTCGAAGTGATTAAAACCATAAAAAATCCTTTTAACATCTGGATCATGATGAGGGTCTGGATGTTGCAAGTCAGCAATCAGCTTCTCAAAATTTCCCTGAACCTCACAGTCTAGGTCTCCCTTTTCACTGCAAGAAACAGTCTCCTCATCTCTTTTGCACTTTTTAAGCCTTTCCATGAAAAATGTCATCTTTTTCTCTGAATTTTAACTATGAAATGCAGCTCTTGAGGGCATTACATTTAGGGCTAAGTTAATGTCACTTAACACTTTAATACAATTTTAGTTAAATAACTAGAGTACTTGGCTGACATGTAGGATATAGTACAAAATGCATATTTTTCATTTGCATATTAACTAGGACGGGGTTTATATATCCAGGACTTTGGGTTAAAAGAGTTTCGTGTTGGTAACTAATTCCTGAGCATAGGATAAGCATGATATATAGTGATATGGATAAGATCAACTTTGCTGATTCTCTACATAAAACCAGATGACATAGCAGTAAGTGAAGAAATTAAGCACCAAGGATTTGTACTAATCTCATCAGGCTAGCTAATGCAAAGAAAAACGCTTTTGCATTCACTTTATGGGTGAATAAAGACCTGAGTAGCTTCTTCAGTTCTTCAACAACTAGCATGGCCGATTGCTTTGCCATATGGATCAATCTTTGCAAATTTACAAACGTAAAATTTTATAAGTCTCTACATGAACTATGAAGACCATATATAATTCATCTCTCCATATACTAGTCTTGGCTCAGACATTAATTAACACAAACAGTTGAGCTTACATGAAAAAAAACACTATCACCACCAAGCACAAACAAAAGAATAGACTTAAGGTACTTTATTTGGCTCGGATTTTGGAGTAATACTGCTAAAACAATGAATTGCAGAGGCGTCAAGCTGTCCTAATTTATAGACAGAGTTTAGGAGTCAGAATGGAGGAACATGTACGTGTAGACGTGTAGTGTTACTGCAAAATTCAGACATGCATTTCCACAAAGAATGTCTGAAACACATTTTTGGTGTCAGGACTCAAGACTACCATCTAGAAGAAGACCAGACAGAGTCTGTTTCCAAATTTTGTTTGAAAATCCTAGGGAGGCTCGAAGAGAAATTTGTTGTACTAACATGGTCGGAAAATGGGCGGATGTGGGAACACGTTGAAAGCATACCCTTTTTGAGTGTCAATAGTTTAAATTATGAAGAATTGAAGATTAATCATATGAGAAAAGTGTTGCCAACTTGATCTTCAAAAAAATTAAGAGGGAAAATGTGCCTCAAAGTTTTGTCAATTTTTATTAAAAAAACTAAAATAATATTTTTTTAAATTAAAAATGAATTCGTTATGGCATCTTTCCATGATACTTTAATTAAAAAAAAAATCTAATTTTAAAATATTTTTCTTCTTAATCTTTTTCAATCCTACCAATAAATACTAAGTACTAACTCTAATCCTTTATACTTTTACACACCTTTTTCTCATAAAAAAAATGACTTCGTCTTTCTTTTTCTTTGTCCATTGCCTTTTCAATATTTGATCAATTATTGGACCCTTTAGAATATGGTGTTAAATTATTGTCATAGACTTTGAAAGTTTGTTTGTTAAGTCAAA